TACCAAGATGATCGACAAAGTAGTCCGTGTGACATCAGTGGTTCAACTGTAAAGAAAACAAAAATAATGACTTTATTCCACATTTTCATCTCTACTGCGTCACTTTGGACGCGCGTTCACGACAGTATCATGACGCGAGCATGTGGCGGTGATACTGTCGTGAACGCGCGTCCAAAGTGACGCAGTAGAGATGAAAATGTGGAATAAAGTCATTATTTTTGTTTTCTTTACAGTTGAACCACTGATGTCACACAGACTACTTTGTTGACCATCTTGGTACTTTTCTGGACCTTGAACGTGGTAGTTACCTTGCTGTCTATGGGAGGGTCAGAGAGCCCTCATATTTCATCAAAAATATCTTAAATTGTGTTCCGAAGATGAACGAAGGTCTTGCGGGTTTGGAACAACACGAGGGTGAGTAATTAATGACAGAATTTTCATTTTTTGGGTGAACTAACCCTTTAAGATCAGAAGCACCTTGATACCCGCCTCATAATTCATCACCTCAATTTTGTCTGAGTGAATGTAATTGACTCCAGTGATGAGAATCTGGAGAGGTGCCAGTCAGATTAATGCTGCTTTGGTCTGTCAGATAAGATTAAATAAGGAAGCTTATTATAATGGATTTCAATTTAGTGTGTTAATTTAAATATCTCAATCTCACTGTGAGGCTCAGGATATGGTTAGTAGTAGTTTTGGGCTGTTTTATCAGTAAATATTCTTACTTTGTAAATTCTATTTCTTTTGTACTGTTTACTGAATTGTTTACAGCTACAGAAAAGTGTAATTTTATTGTTTCATCATCATTTTAGATAAAATTGCTTTGCATATTTACCACTAATTAATAGAACATGGTGTAATTATTCTTGTGAAAGTCACTGCAAACGTTTGATTTGCATGATTTTATTACAGATATAAAATTAAAAGCATGTAAAAATTAAATATCCATCATAGTTTCTGGTTATATAGTGGCTTTATGTGGTCACAAAACATTTACACACAGGACTTTTATAGACGGATAAGTTTATACAATCAGCAAATTTATATACTGTACACATACACAAATCTGAGGCACGACAAAAATAATTATGTAGATTATTTACAGTTTCCACAGAACAACATTAATGTCTTTCAGTTCATGACACAAAATGCAGAACGTGTCAAAAACATGACCAATGATGTACCATCTCACACTCTGCTATCAGTTTTGAAGCTTTCATTAGGTTGAGTGCACCTGCATCTGAAATTGATTTTCGATTTGTCATAGTCATCTTACCTTGAGTTGTGACGCTGTCTGTGCAATATCCAAAGTAAGCCTCTGACTTATTCTAGCAAATAATACTAGGAGAGTTTTCCACTCTCTTGTTGTGTGACTATGAATCCTGTGTATTTTACTTTAATTTAAGAATATCTGATTATTGATTGTTTCCCAGAGATGTAAGGTTAGATAAGCTATACAACCTTAGATGTTTAAAAATGCAAGTAGGAAGACATGTTCCGGATCAAAATCTTTTGTTGGTCCTGTAACAACATTCAGATTAAAAATCTTTAAAATCAGAAGCATATGATCACACGCAGGTTATTCTTGTTATGCAGTACATTTTCAGTACATGTGTTTTAATTATATATATATATATATATATATATATATATAAAAATAAATAAATAAAATATGAAAGGCTGCTAATCACTTCAATAAAAATTGTTAAATGTCCAGCATACCAGGAATGACTCTCCTAATCACAGTAAATTGTCACTGTGGTCCTTCTAAAAGTAAAATTTTTAATAGAGTTTTGGCACATCAACCCCAACATTATCAAAAATATACTGCTTATGCATTGGTCCTTTCATATTATCATTTTGTTTACTCTCTCTGTTTTATAAATGACTGTGATATTCACATTTAAAATATATATTAATTTTATCAAAACAAATAGACAAAATATAGAATTTAATGAAATCTCAGTGAGATTGCGAGGTCCTTGGGTTGATCATTTATGATGACTGACCGTCACTTTAAAAAAACAAAGCAATCATGCAAGCAAACCCTTAAAACTCTTTCACAACGCCACAACAGATCACAATGGCTACATTTTATCAGTACATGCAAGCTTTAAAGCACAAAAAATATCTGTCAATTGTGTCTTTTATTGGTCTAAAATCATATTCAGTGTTTTATTTATATAAAATCTTCACATATAATGTAAATGAACATTAGTGCACATTTAGGGGCTCTGAAAGTTGTACCAAAATAAGAATGGAAAGAAAACCGTGTTGTAAATGGAAAATGTTTTTTAAAAGACATTCAGAAGCTATGTGCTTCGTATATTGTATGTTACTGCCATGACCTCAGTTTTGAACTGCAGAGATATGAGAAATGTGTTGCACCACTTGCTGGAATGTCATAGAGTCATTGCGGCAGTGTGGCGGCACTGAGATCAGAGATGGAAATTCTGTGCAAAACGTGTGTGTGTGTGTGTGTGTGTGTCTAGAGGCTACTCTATTTTCCTATACCTCATCGCAGACCACAGTTGGACAGATCCTGAAGACATGAGTGTATGGAGGGTGCGTTGTCTGTAGACTGTACACTTCGACAAACAAGAGTGACCCACAACAGCATCCTAGCAAGGTGAAGTGTGTAATTTCTGTGCCACTACTAGCACCATCTAATGTGATTGCAAAATTAATGATTGATTCCAAACAGGTTTTTTTCTTCCACTCCTTTTCTGTTGTTGTTCAAACTTGGCTATATGTTTAGAATGGAATATTTAAGACTACTATGCAATATGCACTGTATATTCTACGGTTTTAATCAATTGGTGTGTAAAAATGTCTTCACTTTCAGCAGTTTGTTCAAATAGTGAGGCAAAAGGGAATTATAAAAATTATAGTTAATATTGCTACCAGTTTGTTCATCACATTGGATGGAAGGTCAATTTAATTGAATTAATGCTGGGAAACTACAGTGCTCTGTTGTATACTGCACATTTTGCAAATGTAGTACATGAAGATATTCTATACATACAGAAATTAGTTAGTATGTTAGTACTACATTGTATGTATAAATCAGCAAGTGGCGTCCACTTATTATCTAAATATGATATAACATTGCATTTTATATCACTTTTGACAGTCTGATCAAATAATGAGTCTGGGAAATGTTAAAAATGATATAAAATACCCAACAAAATTTCTGCTGTGGTATAATCCACATATTGTCAGCTATACTGTAAACAGATATTTGCATACAGTGTATAGCAAGTTTGGGGTTGGTAGGATTTTGTAATGTTTTTGAAAGAAGTCTCTGATGTTCACCAAAGCTGCATTTACAGTAAAATACAGTAAAAAAATAACATATTTTAAAATGTAGTTTATTCCTTTGATGGTAAGGCTGAATTTTCAGCAGTCATTACTCCAGTGTTCAGTGTCACATGATCCTTCAGAAATGATTCTAATATGCTGATTTTGTGCTCAAGATGCATTTCTTCTTAACATGGTTGAAAACAGTTGTCACTTACTATTTTTGTGGCAATTGTGATATTTTTTCAAGAATGAAAAAAAATTTGTAAGAATGTGAAAGTCTTTGTCACTTTTGATCAATTTGATGCATTTTTGCTGATCAAAAGTAGATTTTAAAAATCTAAAACTTTTGAATGGTAGTGTGCATACTGCAGTAATAGTAAGAGTAGCATAGTAGTATGTTATTTTGAACATAGCCAAATCTCTGCTAAACAGCTTATCACAGATAGTCCTGACCCAGTCACATCATTCAAAAGACCACTCCTACAATATTTTACTTATACTAATTTCTGCACATGAAACCGGGATAGTTAAAGTATTTCAAATTACACACTTCACCTTTTATCGCTCTTAGTTGTTTCATTCATCAACCATTTTATCTCCACTGTTCTTTAAAAGCCACATGAAAACCACAACAGCACCTTCACTATCACAGCCATTGAGGAAGAACAGAGTTAATCACTCGCTTGCTTTTGCAAATAGTATTGTACCGTGAGATGAGACATTAGTGGGAGATCGCCAACAAAATCCATAATTACACTCGAGCACAATCTTTTTTTTTTAAGCCCTACAACATCATGCCGCAGTTTGGTGGACATTCACATTGATTAGAGAACCATGCTGACAGCGGACACAAGGCTGGCTGGGGCATAATAAACTCCATTCTAATTGTTTTTAAGGAAGTCACGTC